TGGGCTAGCCCACATGGCCAAGATGGTGGCCGCCATAAGCCGCTTTTTTGTCTGTTTACCCGTCTGTTGGCCACAACCAGAAAGGTCCCGTATGCATTTCCCATGGGTGAGGTAAACAAAAATGGCAAAATCCACTCTCCAGAAGCTCATCAGCCTGGGAGTGGTGCCAGGGCCACGCCCAAAAGGCACCAGAGTCTGATGGGGACACAGCAGTCCTGATAACAAAGAGGACCCAGCAGTCTGAAACCGAAAGGCTTAATGCCAAAACACACTGCTCCTGGAGCCGGGTGCTAGACCTGACCTGTGTGAAATGTACTCAACCAGTGAAAGAAGAAATCAGAGACAAAAAAATAAAAAGCAAAAAGTTTAGCAGGAATGTTATTCTTTTACTTAAATTATAAATTTGAGAGAGATGGACATGGACTATAGTGAGCACATTAACCAGTTTATTATAGAGCAGAAGAGTGAGAGGGGGAAAGAGAGAAATGGAAGAACAGAGCAGGGCAGAGAGAGAGAGAGGGAGAAGGAGAGAGGAGAGAGAGGGAGAGGGAGAGAGAGAGAGAGAGAGAGAGAGAGGGGGGGAGAATAATGCTGCGGGTTTAAAAGGGGGAACTCATGCATGCACACTGAGTCCCTACGAAGCCCCGTAATTAGTGATGTAGCTATGATGTGACCATGCAACACAGGGCCCTTTAAGCTGCCTAGGTATCTGCCTGAACTTTTCAATATTTATACCGAGACTTTAGTATTTAAAACCAGCCTTACAAAGAGTTTCAAGCAAAGAATGAAGATGTAGCTGCTTGAGAACAGTGTGAACAGAAAGTGTACCAGTGGGGGTGAGGTAACAAGGGAAGTCATAGTGAAAGACTCCCGGAGGCTCAGGCTCCCAGGATCTTGGTCCAGGACCTCGGCCACCCCAATCACCATATGGAGGTGAAAGCAAACTGCTTGAGGCTTTATTGTAGTTGTTTCATGAGCTAACCCCATGTTAGCTCAGGCCTTCCATCCATCCACCATGGCGGATGGCTAGGAAAGACGCTGCGAAGCAGCTGCATAGAGATCTTGTAGGGCAGTGTAAGGGGAGTGTCTAGGGGTACGCACAGGCTCAGGATTGGTGTGCCTCCAGGCTTGGAGGGTTTGCCCTGTGTTGATTGGTCAACTGCTTGTTATGGCCCACAGGCCCTCCCAGGGTGGTTGCTATGCTCTGCACTTGTCTGTAAAGCACACCCAGAGCCGTAAAGCATAGCACCACCACCTGACTTCGGATTGTTTCCTTGCCACGAGGCAGGCATCTGACCTCCTAGTGACCAAGGCAAGGTCAGGCAAGCATGTGCTAGGCTGTCATGGCTGCTGAAATGGGGAGCTGGTCCCCTCATTAGGGAAACTTCATCTAAGAAAATACATCAAACCCTGTGCAAATAAAATACATCAAAATAGCTCAAAGATGAAAATACTCTTTTAAACAAGAAGACTCTGAATTTACCATAAACAGCATAGTCTGATTGCTTATGTACAACATAGAATCTTTCTCTGCTGAATACAAGATAGTTCATTGCTCTAGGAGCTCCAGGGGCTGCAGCAACACCAGCCAAACTGTGTCAGCCCCTTCTGCCTGCATCAGCTTACAGACACAGAGCCACAGCAGGACCTGGATAAGAATCCCAAGAAGGTAGCTGGGCATTGGGGGCACACGCCTTTTATTCCAGCACTCGGGAGGCAGAGGCAGGCAGATCTCTGTGAGTGAGTTCAAGGCCAGCCTGGTCTACAGAGCAAGTGCCAGGATAGGCTCCAAAGCTACACAGAGAAACCCTGTCTCGAAAAAAAAAAGAAAAGAAAAAAAAAAAAAAAAAAAAAAAAAAGGCAAAAGAATTTGTTTTTATAAGTACAAATGTATGTCTTAAACAGGATCTCTGAACAGAGTAATAGATATTGTACTATGGCAATATCTTGAAATTTTATTTTTCAAATAACTTGGGGTTTCAATTTCTCGTAAGTGTATATCCTACCCAGTCTCTTCTGGGTACTGTATCATATGTACATGCTGGCCAGGTTTTCAGCAGTCAGCCTGGGGTTCTTAGGATTCTCTACATGCAGACATGGGGTGAATCCCCTAGAAGGCAGATGATTAATTTAAGTTTAACTGCCCTAAAGGGGCAGCTCTCTGGATAATGAACTTTTCATGCCCCCTCCTCATTTTCCCCAATCCCCTACCTAGACTCTTTTCCCATATAAATAACTTGACCTTGAATTATTGCCTCCTAACATGCTTTTCAGGGAAAAAGACATCCTACCTTCCAACCCCTTTGTCCACCCCTCTTCCTTCCCCTCCCTCCCAGGGTATTTTGTGAGCAGTAGCAAATGAGACTAAGATGATGCATACTAGCACAAAACTAGCTGCACATAGAAATTGGAAGTAAACTTTTAAGTACAAAGTAGACAAATGTAAGCACAATAAAAGAGTTCACATTAGTCCTGGCTTATACTTACACTTGGGAAATTCTCTCTCTTTTTTTTAATTAATTAATTTTTTTGGAGACAGAATCGAATCTTGCTGTTGGCTGGCCCAGCACTCACTTTATAGCCTAGGATGGCCTTGACATTGTTTTCATAAAACACTCTACAGAGTGTGATTTCTATAGTAGTTCCTGGGTTTGGGTGCACCTCTAGTGCTCACCCTTTGATATGTACTGAATAGCATTTGCTAAGGGCCTGCTCTTTGCTGTATTCTGCTGGAAGGGAGCCTATCTTCAGGGATTTATACTGCAGAGGACTCTCAGCTAAGTAGACTTTACATTTAAATATGTTTCACCTGCTTTGCTTTTTAGAGATGGTGTCTATTTGTTTTTACTGTGTTCCTTTTCCACTGAAATGATACTTTTATATCATTGACAGTCTTCTTAAGCTGCAAGAAATTTTTTTATTTAAAAAATAAAGCTTTTGATTTTTGTAAATTATGTGAGTCATACTTTTTTTCATAGACCTCTTGGGTGCTTTTGTCCTTTATAATATCTTAGCCATGAGAGAGTACTGATGAAAGTAAGTTTCACATTGAGGGTTTCCTGAGATGATTACTCATTTAACGCACGTGTTCTAGGGTGTAGTGGTCAGTCACCAGGATCAGAGATGAATACAGGTGAGCTGTAGATTTCAGGTATGTGGCTGATGATGTTTTCCCATGGTAGTTGTCACTAATACTCAGTTTGTTTCGTTGTAAAAACCAGGCAGAGTGTAAATCTGTGGTTACTACTATAAAAAGAACTAAAAATTTTATTTGTGCAAATGAAAAGTATTTTATATAATTTGTGTGTGTACCCTTCAGTGTTCATAGGCATGAATATACTTACTATACCTTAAATTTAGCAATGTTGTAAATATCATAGATATTTACATAGATAATTAATTTTTAGATATATTTACTAGAAGAATATAATGGTTAATAAGGAAAACATTTTAACTCTTTACATTCATCCTGAGACTTTAGTGGTTAGTGGTGTTGGGATAGAGGAGAGAGATGCATATACTCCTTAGACTTTTATTGCAATAATAAAGCACAAGATGTTTTGAGATTTACAGTTCCCCCAGTAATGGAGCTGCTTATGGAAGATTTTGACCTTGTGTGATGTCTGCATGATTCCTGTCTGTTTTTGTTCAGTTGGTAATTCCGTTAACTACCCAAGATGACTTAGACAAAGCTGTGGAACTGCTGGATCGGAGTGTTCACATGAAGAGTCTCAAGATATTACTTGTAATAAATGGAAATACACAGGTATGAATTGGGGTTGTATTTCTCACTGAAGATTGTAGTCATTTAATATATTTTAATTTATAAAATGTGAATTTATATAATTTTCATTGCTGTAGCTTAATATGCTTGTTTCTCAAAACTATATAGTCAAGAATTACAAATAAGAATATATTATACATGTGAAACAAATAGAAACTGGCAACTTGGGAAAAATTATGTTAGAATGAAATGTCCGTTTTGTATTTTTACTTTTTACATTTATTTTTTGTGGATAGGGTGAGGTATACACATGACACAGGCACATGTATGAAGATCAGTTCTCTTCTTCCCACATGTTGGTTCTGCATCAGAGGTTGTGTCATCAGGGTTGACAGCAAGCACCCTTACTTGCTAATCCAACTTACTGGCCCTGAAATATCTTGTCTTGTCCATCTTCTCCCTGCTTCAACCAACCTCCCTCCCTCCTCACTCCCTTCCCCAACTCTTGCCCTCCTCCTCCCTCCCCCACCCCTTCTTCCCTTCCTCCCCTTCCTCCCGGTTTCTGAGCACAAGTGTTCTTCCTGCTTTTGCTTTCCATCTAGCTGGCTGGGTGGGCTTGTGCCACTCTTTTGATAAATTAAATTTGTAAGAGTAGATTCGAAAAGGCCCAACAAGAATGGAGAACAGCTAGGTTGTGTTTTAGTAAGGGGAGGATTCTGATGAAAGCTTCAGATGGGAAGACTAGCATTAAGTGCTCTTTTCTCTTCTAGGCTACTAATTTAGAACCATCACCATCATCAGAAGATTTGAATAATACACAACTTGGTGCAGAGAGGAAAAAGCGACTATCTGTAGTAGGTGAGAAAGCCAGGGTCTGATTAAGGAAATGATTTCTCAAATCCTTCTCATCTTTTAATGTAAGGTAACATGAACTATATCCCTGATAAATAGTACTTTGTCTGTATGCTCTCTGCAATCATATCCTTTAACTACTTTATCTTAACTGTTATTCCAGAGAAATTAATTTCACATATTATAGGACTAGCAATAACCAATTGAAAGTATTTGTTTATACACAGAATATTTTAATACTCAAGCATTCAAATAAAACCTCTTGAAGAGGTTTTAATGATATGAGTAGAGAGGGGAAGTAACTGTAAGATATTAAAATGAGTAGACTGGACTCTTGTTTCTAAGTTTTCTAGGGTTTTAGGTATTGCCAGAATATGCTATCAATATAAATGTGGCTAATAGTAACTAGATTGTGTTTTATTTTTGCTTTCTTCATATCCAGTTTTATTTATCATGAATAATGAATTCCTTATACCTAAGCTTATGATGTAAAGAATTATGATCCTGTGTGCTATATAAGTAAGGTGGCCTTATTGGGACTGGGTAGACAGAGGTGTTCTGAACCCTCCATGTTTATTGCTGTGAAAACACTGACAAGGAGCTGAAGAGATGACTCAGTGGTTTGCTGTTCAAGCAAAGGAACAGAGATTGATTCCCTCCCAGCACCAGTGTCAGATGGCTCACAGCCATCTGTGACCCTTGGTCTAGGGGATCCAACAATCTTCTGGCCTGTTCTGGTACTAACATGTATATGCATACATGTATAGTCACTTTTACACATGAATAAAAGTAATAAATCCCCTGCCCCCAGGGTTTTCCTGTATTGTTTTGGAGGCTGTCCTGGAACATGCTCTGTACACCAGGCTGGCCTCGAACTCACAGAGATCCGCCTGTCTCTGCCTCCTAAGTGTTGGGATTAAAGGCGTGCACCACTAACGCCTGACAATAGGATTTTTTTTTTTTTTGGTTATAAGTTCTTAAAGTATCATTAAAAATACAAAAAAAACATTAACAATATAAAGGTGTTTTGTTACTTAAAGAACAGCTGATGTAAAAGTTTTCAATAGGGTAGAAAATGTAGTCATTCCAGGCAGCATGGGCTCTTGTATTGAGGCATAGATTTAAAAGGGAAAGTAGAAGAGGGAAGACAGGTAAATAGAGAATAGAAAGCAAGAGAGCAGGACAAAGTAAGACATTTGGGTAAAAATCTAGAAATGACTGCAATAGAAAAAGTGTGTCAACAATGAATGAAAAAATTAGATTAGCTCGTGAGTAACCAAAGCTGTTGTTTATGTTCTTTTGTTTTGTAGAATAAGCTGTTTTATGATCGTTCTTTTTTTGTGTCTTGTCTCATATAAATCTATTTCACAGAACTGCATATATGACCTGCAGAGATAATACATAAATAGACACAGCTTGTCCTCATTCAGATATATTTGATATTACTTAAAAAAAAAAACAGTGAAAGAATATTTGAGCTGAATTCAAATTATGGCTCTTTCTCAATATAAAATTAGTAACTTTGCCCTTGCTTTTAAACAGTAGAATTAAAGCCACAACCAGAGCACTTGTTTCACGTCTCAATCTGAGGCACAACTACTCTTAATTGTACAAGAAGTAAAGTACAAACAACCACTTCATTTCAGTTGTTAGACAGAAAAAGCTTAAATACACTAGTTAAATTGCCATTTTGAATTCCTCAGTATTAACCTAGTAGTAAGTATTTTTGTTGTTTGATTTGGTGCCAGGATAAGAAAAAAGCTGAAAATTGTGCAGAATTTCTATGAGTGTGTTAGCATGCCCATTATAATGAATGAAAAGAAATAGGATTTTATAGCTGCCTGCCTTCTCAGTTTCCTCTTAGTAGTTAAGTATATTGGTCTCTTATTTATTTTTTATTTTTTTTAAAGATTTTATTTATTATGTATATAACATTTTGCTTCCATGTATATTTGCACATCAGAAGAGGGAACCAGATCTCATAACGGATGGTTGTGAGCCACCATGTGGTTGCTGAGAATTGAACTCAGGACCTATGGAAGAGCAGTCAGTGCTCTTAACCTCGGAGCCATCTCTCCAGCCCCTATTTTTTTTTTTTTAAAGAGTATTCAAAAGGAGTAAAAAATATCAAGGATGCAGTGATGACTGTGATCATAGCTATTCCAAAGCCTGCATGAACCCTGACTAAGAACTCAGCCCACACTTCTTTTCAGACAACAGATGAGGTCTCTGCACATCTAATAAGGTGTTCTCTTGCTCCTTCTTCCTACTTAACAAAGGAGCCCTCTACGTACGCCTTTTCCCCTCTAAACTTAAATAGAACTTAAATGCTTACACCACTTATATATCTGTTTACTTTTTAAAAACTGCAAAGAGAGCAGAAAACTATGTTAATAAAGCATTATTTCCTGTGAACCAAGTAAAAATTAGGCTTATTATTGTTTCATAAGAGTTATGAGTAATTAAATGAACTGTTTAAATGAATGCCAGGCTCTCTTCTATTTTTTCTTAAAGTATGAAGGTTTTTGTTGTTGTTGGGGGGGGTGGGCAAGGTCTTCTATAGGTTGGCTTATCTGGAACTCTGTAGATAAGGCTGGCTTTGAACTAACAGAGATCTGCCTCCTGGGAGCTGGGATTAAAGGTATGTGCCAGTACATCTGGGGAATTATGAAGACATTTAGATGCAAGGAATATAGTTTTCCACAAAAATGTAGTTTTAAGTAATAAAAAATAGGTTCAGGATACTAAATACAAAATAGGAGGCAAATGACTAGGAAGCAGTCTCACTTCAGGGTTTCTAAAGATTAAAGAGAGTGAATAGAAAGAGTATCATGTAGCCAAATGTGCATAACATATGTTTGTGGTTAATGAATTTACCACCACAGCATTCTTACCAAGAAGTGTTGTAGTGCTACTGTGTTCATTGATGTGAAAACAGACCAGTTGCCAAGACACTAAGATGGTGACTTGCATTGGAATTTAAACCATGCCTGGTAGCAGAGCCCTTATTCTTTAACTGTTCCATGATATCAGTGGCAAATATGTCAAAGGCTAGCAGATACAAATTATCTTTGGAAATTCAAACTCTGGTATAGCACTTTATATAGCTCTCATGTGCTATCAGCCCATGATACAGTTGTCAACAGTCAGAAAAACTTGCTTAAATATAAATTGGCATATTCCTTTTTTTTCTTCTTTTTTCAAGATGGGGTTTCTCTGTATAGATTTGGAGCCTGTCCTGGAACTTTGGCCTGGAACTCACAGAGATCTGCCTGCCTCTATCTCCCTAGTGCTGAGATTAAAGGCATGCACCAACACTGCCTGCCTTTAATTAGCATATTCGAATGAGGTTGTAGAGTGTGAATTTAGAGAGGCTGCAAAAAGCTCTGAACCTGAATATTCTGATTACATTTTTGTAAACACTAGATTTCATTTGCTAAAGTTTTTCATTTTTATGTAGTTAGAAATATAACCTATTTAATTGAAACAAAAATTAGTTTACTTGCTGACCATGATAAAACTTAAAATTTTTCTTTTTGAGGTCCCACTAATAGAGATAGAAGTTCCCCTCCCCCAGGATACATTCCAGATGAACTACACGAGATTGCTCGAAATGGGTCATTCACTAGCATCAACAGTGAAGGAGAGTTCATTCCAGAGAGCATGGACCAAGTAAGCCAGAACTGGATGTTGTTTTTCACTCTATGTAAAGATGTTACTTACTGGTCAGGACCAGTGTGATTTGGCAGGCACCTTGGGTGTGTGTGGGGGGTGTGTGTGCGCAAGAGTGTGTATGTGTGTGCATACATGTGTATACATTTTCTCTAAGTGAAAAAATTGACAAAAAACCCTGCTCATTTATATAAGCCCTTTTTGTGTTGGTATGTAAAAAAAATACTGGAACAACTGGTTTTCTTGTAATGATCATCCATGACACATTTGGTTTATAATCTTAGATTAACATTCAGATTTTTAAATGAACCAACCTTTCTTTCTTTCTTTCTTTCTTTCTTTCTTTCTCTCTCTCTCTCTCT